GCATCAAACATATAAAAGAATCTGCATATTTCAAAGATATAACAGTAATTTGTTGACTGGTTTAAATGTAGTATACAAGAATCACAATGCACCCAATATAGTTTAATAAGGTTTAACAAGAAAAAAAAGATAATTTGCTGCATAAATAAAATCAACTGAAATATGAATATACAGTTTTAGATTAAACCATAGAGGGGTATTTAAGATTACTATTTTAAAAGAAAGAAATAAAGGAAAATCAAGAATGGAAAGAAGGAAGGGAACGAGGTAAAACGGGAAGGATGCACAGGGAGAGAAGGAGACAGCAGAAGAGGGAGACAGAAAAGGAGGGAGGGAAGAAGGTCAACTGTCATTCAAAAGAGAATCAAGGGCTTTAAGTTTGTAGCAGGAATCTGGGAGATGAGTACCCCATGTTTTCAAAGGAAAAAGAGAAAAATAAACAGATCTCTACCCTATCCACTGAAGCAGTTTATTTATAATTGTTACTAATAGATTTGTTATATTGGCCACATTTTCCCCCTGACATTTAAAGAGGATAATTTTCTAATCTATAATTACAAATGGCCAAGGAAGTCACCAATAGAGTACTGTTTCTATTGTGTCCAGATCTCGATAATTGTAGATGAATTGTTCAATATGAAATAGTGCATTTTAAGGATAAAATGCTGCTGAGCTTGTGGATAACTAGCGTTAATAAATGAGGACTCCCCCCCCCCAAAAAAAAAAAAACAAATAAGAGGAAGCAGGTTGAATTTGCGGTATGAAGGCTTTAGACTACATGTTGGGAATAGGGAGAAAGTCTGTGCTCAAAGCAAAAGAACAAACTACAGGATCCATCTCAATGATTCTATGAACTTTAGCCTAGAAATCATGTTTATGGAAATAATCTGGAACAGGTGGATACAGCAAAAGTAGAAATATGGAAATGATTTGTTTCTATGCTGACTGCTAAAACTTGCTTGGGAAGAACATAACATTATCAATTGCTATTTATCAATGCTAAGGGAGAACAGCAAGGGAAAAGAAAACAAAAGCTTTTCTTCTCTGGTTCTGAGATATATTCTATGACATTATTTTCTTTCAAACATCTTAAGCCAAAATTAAAATTAGCATTCCACGTGAACATATATTTGACGATCATGAGAGGTAACCCAGAAGTACATAGTGTGAGAGAGAAAAGTCAGAATTTATCCACTGGTAAGCATCGACTTGGAATTAGAATATTTAGGCCCTGGACACAACCATGTCTTAGTACATACGTGACAACTACGTTATTTGTCCAGAATGTCATTGTTTCCCTGCCTGCAAAATGAGGGAGGTAGAAGGATGGGGGAGGGGCAAGGTAGAATAAGTGATTTCTGATTGTAAAAGTCCGTAAGTCCAGAGATAATGTAAATATGCAACATCAATAAATACATATATATATATATACACACTGTATGTGAAAACAGAAATGTCAGAATTAGAATATCATGGTATATAACTGAGCCACAACCATGAAGGTACTTCAAAAAGTTCATGGAAAATGGAATTAAAAGATGCTTCTATTTTGAAGTGTTTGAAGTCAGGCAGTGTTTTCATAATATGCATTTTCTGTGAACTTTTTGAGCATCCTTCATAAAGCCAACACAATGCATCACCACGTTTCCACTGGAAGAACAATGAATATCCAGCCAATATATTCAGTATATTGAGTCATAAAGGATTATAATCCATATGTGAAGCAGATGACTCAAGATCACATAGCCAGAAGAGATGGGGAGATAGGATTAGAATTCTTCTGATTTTTCTCATGTCTTGAAGAAGACATTAAGAAACATCTTACCAGAAAATTTAAATCTTACCAGAAAGTGCTTTAAAAAGATGAGAACATTTGATAAAAGCAGATACATAGGATTACTACAGAATACCTGCAATAAATCCTTTATCTTAAAAGAAATCTAGTCAATTTTCCCACCTCTTTATGATAATATGAGTGACTGCCATTCAATTTGCTTAAATTACTTAATTTCTAAAGTACCAAAAGGAGCCAAAAATTATGCAGTGGGCCATAAAAAATGCATCTCAATAGGTAGAACTTCATAAGTTGTAATGTGTAAGTCAATAATGCTTTTACTAAATACGTCACTGGAAATCAACATGAAATATGAATGCTAATCCATTTTGGAACAATATTATTTTGAGAAGTACTTAAAATGTCAATCTGAAAATGAACAAATATTATTTGTTCATCTTGTGATCTGGCTGAAGACATTACACCCATTTGATTTGATAAAGTTTATCTTTCCAACTGGAACCTAGAAATATGATATTCCCATGAACCCATAACTGAGATGGCTAAAGAAGCCAACAATATCATCTGCTGTGCCCTCATTTCTCTTTATTGATAATTCTACACAGAATAATAAATAACAACATTCTCCTTTAAAAGATTCAGAAATTTGACCTCATTTTCTGCTCTACAGCAGAAGGGTATGGTAAAATTAAAAGTTTTAACTCAGATGGAAATGATAGATAAAAAATAGGGACTGAGGCCAGCGCTGCGGCTCACTAGGCTAATCCTCCACCTTGCGGCACCGGCACACCAGGTTCTAGTCCCGGTCAGGGTGCCGGATTCTGTCCCGGTTGCCCCTCTTCCAGGCCAGCTCTCTGCTGTGGCCAGGGAGTGCAGTGGAGGAGTGGAGGATGGCCCAAGTACTTGGGCCCTGCACTCCATGGGAGACCAGGAGAAGTACCTGGCTCCTGCTGTAGAATCAGCGCAGTGTGCTGGCTGCAGTGCGCCGGCCATGACGGCCATTGGAGGGTGAACCAACGACAAAGGAAGACCTTTCTCTCTGTCTCTCTCTCTCTCACTGTCCACTCTGCCTGTCAAAAAAAAAAAAAAAAAATAGGGACTGAACTGGGGCTGGCAATGTGGCATAGCAGGTAGAGCTGCCTGTGACATCAGCTTCCCACATGGGCGCCAGTTCAAGTCTCAGCTGCTCCACTTCCAATTCAGCTCCCTGATAATGGCCTGGGAAAAGCACCAGAAGATGGCCCAAGTGTTTGGGCCCCTGCCACCCACATGAGAGACTCAGATGAAGCTCCTGGCTCCAACCCAGTCCCAGCCACTGCAGCCATCTACTGAGGGAACCAGCAGATGGATGATCCCTCTCTCTGTAACTGACTTTCAAAATAAATAAATAGGATTTTAAAAAAGATATATTTATTTATTTGAAAGTCAGAGTTACACACAGAGAGAAGGAGAGGCAAAGAGAGAGAGAGAGACAGGTCTTCCATCTGCTGGTTCACTCCCTAGATGGCCACAATGGCCAGAGCTGTGCCAATCAGAAGCCAGGAGCTGGAGCTTCTTTTGAGTCTCCCATGCAAGTGCAGGGACCCAAGCACTTGGGTTATCTTCTGCTTTCCCTGGTCACAGCACAGAGCTGGATTGGAAGTGGAGCAGCCGATACTCAAACCAGGGCCCATGCTGACACTGCAGGTGGCAACTTTAGCTGCTATGCCACAACACCTGCCCCCATGAATAAATAAGTTTTTTTAAAAAGACAGGAACTGGGTGAAAAGAAACGCAATTTGGAAATTCCAATAATAAGAATCCAAATAATGAAAAATTAAGCTTATACTATTTTATGTAATTCAGATGATTCTCCAAATAGACTGATGTTAACTTTACTCCAGAAGTTTCATGAGGAAAAAATATCATAGTGATCAATTATGACCAAAACAAATTATGGCTTCATGAACATCAAGCTTAAAATCAAGTATAACTAAGTCCCTTGTGTCTCAATCCACAGAATAAAAGAAGTGTTAGATGAGGGAAAAAAAAGGTTACTAGCATTTCTAAAGCAGTAATTAGCATATGTAAAAGACTAAAGTGTAATGAAATGATCCAGGTCTAGAAAGACTAACTTGGATCATCCTCACAAAGGAAAAACAGAGGGGGAGATAGCTGTGGAGGATCATTTTTCTTCTGGTGGGGCAGGATAGAACATCTGAGTAACTGCATCACTAAATCATTACCTGACCTAGCTATAACAGTGGCAATAAACTGGTGATTATTATTACACACTCTTTCACTCTCCATAATGTATACTATCACATTACTTGAAACATAATTTTGTAAGTTGAAAAAAGTTCAGGGTTGAGCCGGCGCCGTGGCTCAATAGGCTAATCCTCCGCCTTGCGGCGCCGGCACACCGGGTTCTAGTCCCGGTCGGGGCGCCGGATTCTGTCCCGGTTGCCCCTCTTCCAGGCCAGCTCTCTGCTATGGCCAGGGAGTGCAGTGGAGGATGGCCCAGGTGCTTGGGCCCTGCACCCCATGGGAGACCAGGAAAAAGCACCTGGCTCCTGGCTCCTGCCATCGGATCAGCGCGCTGCGCCGGCTGCAGCGGCGGCCATTGGAGGGTGAACCAACGGCAAGGGAAGACCTGTCTCTCTCTCTCACTGTCCACTCTGCCTATCAAAAAATAAAAAAAAAAAATAAAAAATAAAAAAAAAAAAAGTTCAGGGTTAAGAAAATCAAAACCAGAAAGATGATCATAAATTATAAGGAGAAAGCATGTTGGCTAATTCTGAAGGATTTTGAAGTGGTTTGTATAAATGCCTGAGGTTTACAATAACAGGATTCCACTAAGATTTCACTCCCTGTGAATACTCTCATGTTGAGTGAATATATGAAGACACCAAAAACAAGGGAGGGAAGTGTTATCAAGTGGTTTTGTCCCATTTTTCTCCACAAAGCTACACCTAACTAGCATGGTCTTTTCACTGCTGCTATCCTCCCTGTGTGATAGTTGGTGATTTCAGTTGACACTTCACACACAATCATCTTCAGCAGCATTCCTACACACTTTAACTTTCCAGCATTGTTGCATGCTGCCTCTCCAATCATCAGCCCAGTGGACTAAATGGCAACATGAGACAGTATCATCAGACTTAATTAACTTTCATCACATGTAACTAAATAACCAAGATTTCCAGTCCAAATAAGTGGCACTTACTTATGTCCATTTAAGGCTGCATGGTGTAAAGCAGTGTAACCCGAACTGTCTGTGCAGTTCACATTGGGGCCTCGCCAGATGCTGCAAATAAACATAAGCGCAGAGTTAACAATTAAGCAGAATCGTGCTTTGTAAAACAAAAAGACTGACAGTCCCACAGCCAGCAGCACGTTGCATATGAAAATTTCAGTCATGTAGAAAATGACTGCCATCTTTTATGCATTCCCATCAGAACAACAAATTCATTTATTTGATGCAGGGAAATGAACAGGGAACGTAAATATCATCAGGAAGTATTAGCAAATGGGTGTTCACTGCTGTGCATTAAAATCTGGATCCAAATATTCCCTACTGCTTTCTAACATTACCTAAATATTGGAAGCAATTAACGCTCACCTTCAATATTCTATACCAGAGAATAAAAATTTATGACACCTGCTTTCTCACCTTAATATACTCATCCTGAGATGGCAGTGATATATGTAACTTATAAGATATTTTTGCATTATGGGTAGAAACTCTTCCTGCTGTTCTCCTGCTACCAAGGAAATGTATTCAATATTTCATACTTGAAAACAAAACGAAGATTTGGATTGTTATAAAGCATAAGATGTTAATGCTGCCATTAGCATTGATTTTATTATACAGTATAGTCTTGCAAGAACATGTAACTATATAAAAGAGTCTATTTTATTTTTTATCACAATTAAAACCATTTTTAGGTTTTAGAAAAATAAAACACTGAAAAACACTTTTCTAAAAGGAGAGAAAAATATTAATTTATCCGATACTTTTAAGAATATCAAAGATAATATCTAATGGTAATCATATCCTCACAAGATATTTATTCTATGCCAACTGTATGTCACATATTAAGATATGAACTAAGAGCACTCAATCAAAACTCAAGGTCCTTCTCTAAAGGAAAATAGCCTAAGGGAGAAGACAGACATACGAACTAATAATTGCAAAGCAGTATGATAACTGAGGTACCAGAAAGCATGCAGGCATCACTGAGAAGACAAGGTACAGTTATCCCAAATGACAGATGATGATACACTTAAGCTAAGCTGAAACTATTATAATGAGAAGAACACACTCACTTATCTAAGAGTTAAAAGAACAATCAAAAAGGCACAGGGGTCAACTGAAGAAAGGTAGGGAAAAGTAGTAGTAGTGACAACTCAGGCTTCAAGATTAGATGACTGGAAAGAAAATGACAATATCCAAGTATTGTCACTTCACTCCTTCTTTCAAGCAGTGTATCAATAAAGTGGCAAAACCCTGGCCTGCATTAGATATCAAAAAAAAATTTGCCTGTCCCATTTTAATAGGTGAAAAGTGGGGCCAGCACTGTGGTGCAGCAGGTTAAAGCCCTGGCCTGGAGCACTGGCATACCATATGGGCACCGGTTCTAGTTCTAGCTGTTCCTCTTCCAGTCGAGCTCTCTGCTATGGCCTGGGAAAGCAGCAGAAGATGCTTGGGCCCCTGCACCCACATGGGAGACCCAAAGAAGCTGCTGGCTCCTGGCTTCGGATCAGCACAGCTCCAGCTGTTGAGGCCACCTGGGGAGTGAACCGGAGGATGGAAGACCTCTCTCTCTGTCTCCACTTCTCTCTGCAACTCTTTCAAATAAATAATTAAAAAAAAAAAAAAGGTGAAAAGTGATATGTCATTGATTTAACATGCAATTCTTTAAAATATTAGTGGTTTTTTTTGTGTCTTCTTACCTTTTCACATTCTTAGACTTTTTAAACTATTTCTTGCTAATTTATAACAGGTTCTTATATATTAAAATGTTAATCTTATGTATTTCAAAAAGAAAAAAGAGAAAGAAAATGACAACATTAACTAAGAGGTGGAATGGACAGTAAAAAGGAGCCAATCTGTTGGGCGAAGGACACTGCAGAATGGAAAGGAAACAATGAGCCCTCCGTGGAAGACACTGAATTTCAAGTATCTGACACGCTCACATATAAGCAAGGATATTCATAAAGCTATGAAATATTAGCTATTAGAAGCGCGACTTTCATGTCTTCAAATATGGCTCCATTACTTGTGTGAGTACCTCTGAATGAGTACCCCTGAACTTCAATTCCTAAACTCTGAAATGGAGATGATGATAACAATAGCACTAGCTTAGGCAGATGTAAGGATCAACAGTGCTCAACAGTGCTCTAAGGTGAGGTGGAGAACCTTTTTTTTGCCAAGGGCCATTTGGATGTTTGCAACATCCTTAGCAGGCCATACAAAATTATCAACTTAAATATTAGCCTGCTACAGATTTATTGAATTTATAGTCCAACCTGGGATTTCCTTTGCAGGCCGAGACCAAATAATTTGACAGGTCATATACAGCCTGCCGGCCAGACATTTCCCACCTTTGAAAGGGAAGCACGAGAACACAGCACTAACATATTATTAAATAAAGGGACACAAAAGTGACACAACATGAAATGACTAACACCAATAAAAAGAAAACTGAGTGATTACATTAACATCAGACAGACTCGATTTCAGAACAAAGAATATTACATGGGAGAGAGGAAGTTCATAACTAAAAGGGGCCAATTTATCAAGAGAACATAGCAGTCTTAAAAGTTTACTGAATTTAACCAAACAAAATACATGAAGTAAAAACTCACACAATTGCAAAAATAAATAGACCATCTATCTATATTTGGATAGTTAAATATACCTCTCTTAATAATTGACAGAAAAAGTAAAACAAAACCAGTGTCCATACATATGGCTTGAATAATAACTATTAACCAACTTGATCTAACTAAAATTTATAAAACACTCTACCTGACAAAAGGAAATGCACATTCATTGCAATTTAACCACAAAACATGCCATAGTGGGGATCATGAAAAAAAAGTCACAATAAATCTAAAAGGATTTAAATCATACAAAATATGCTTTCTGACACCCAATGGAATTATATTAGAAATCAATACCAGAAAAAAAAAAAAAGAAATCAATACCAGAATAATACCTGAAGCCACCAAATGTTGGGAACTAAATAACACATAAATCAGAGAAGAGATCAAAAGGAAACTGGAAAATATTTTTAACTGCAAGAAAAATAAAACAGTATTTTATTTTTATTTTTTTCTTTTAGAAAACAGTATATATCAAAACTTTGGGGATGTAACTAAAGCAATACCTGAAGAAAAACATAACACTAAGAAGGCAAAATTAAATCCAAAAACAGTCCCAGCTTAATAAGTTCAGATTCCAGTTTCAGAAATATAAAAATATATTAAGCCCAAAGTAAGAGGAGAGGAAATATTAAAGACAACAGCAGAAATTAAGACACAGAAAACAGATTAAGAAAGTCAATGAATTTTTAAGTGATTCTTTTAAAAATCTCTATAAAATCAATATATCTATGGTAAAATTGAATAGGAGGAAAAATAGAAGACACAAATTGCCAGTATCATGAAGAGAGGCAAGTTGTCAATTTAGTCTACAGATATGCAATGGGTAGCAGAAAACTATGAGTGACTTTATAGTAATAAAACAGAAAGCAGATAAAATAGCCAGGTTTCTTGAAAGGCGCGAACCACAAAAGCTCACTCAAAAAGAAAAGCAGGGCCGGCGCGCGGCTCACTAGGCTAATCCTCCGCCTTGCAGCGCCGGCACACGGGGTTCTAGTCCCGGTCGGGGTGCCGGATTCTGTCCCGGTTGCCCCTCTTCCAGGCCAGCTCTCTGCTGTGGCCCGGGAGTGCAGTGGAGGATGGCCTAAGTGCTTGGGCCCTGCACCCCATGGGAGACCAGGAGAAGTACCTGGCTCCTGCCATCGGATCAGCGTGGTGTGCCGTCTGCGGCGGCCATTGGAGGGTGAACCGACGGCAAGGGAGGCCTTTCCCTCTGTCTCTCTCTCTCACTGTCCACTCTGCCTGTCAGGAAAAAAAAAAAAAAAAAGAAAGAAAAGCAATAAACTGTACAGCCCTAGATATATTAAAGGAACTAAACCTGAATTTGTAACCAAAAACATTCCTCACAAATTCAAACATTCCAACCAAAATAGGGCAAGTGGAGAATTCTAACAGGAATTTAGGGAATAAATAATAGCATTCTATGAAAACATTTCCAAAAGCCTGAGATGCATAAATACTGCCTCACTTTCTATGGGTCAGGAACCCAAAAACATTATGAAAAAAGTGAGCTAGAAATCAATACATCACTCATGACTACAGATGCAAAAAATCTTTAACTTACAGCAACAGAACCCTACAACAATATACAAAAAGGAAACTATATTACGAAGAAATCAAGCTTATCCCAGTAATCCAAGTGTTTTCTAGCATTAATTATTTACTATACTGACACATTTCAAAAGAACTTATTTGATGATCTCAACAGAGGCAGAAATAATACTTTGCAAAATCCAACATCAGTTTCTAATAAAAACTTTTTACTAACTAGTAATAGAAAAAAACTTCATCAACCTGGGAATAAAAACAAGCTATAAAAAAAGCCTACATCTACTTAAAATGTATGTAACACTTTATGATGAAAGATGGAATGTTTCCCATTAAGATCAAGGACATGACAAGGATATCTGTTCTAACCACTTCTAATTGACACTGTACCTGAGGCTTTAACCAATGCAGTAGCTAAAAAGGCAGTGACAAGAAAAAGAAATAAAAGATATCAAGATTGTGAGTGATTCAGATGCCCAAGACCCATACCATTATACCTGGATTCAGGGGCTGGCGTTGTGGCACAGTGAGAAAGACATGTGGATGCCAGTATCCCATTTAGGCACTGGTTCCTGTCCACTTGCAGTCCAGCTACCTGCTAATGCACATAGGAAAGCAGGGGAGGATGAGCCAAGTGTGTGGGCCCTTGTCACTGACTGGAGACATGGAAGAAGTTCCTGGTTCCTGGTTTGCACCAGCCCAGCTACAGCTGTTGTGGCCATTTGGGGAATGAACCAGTGGATGGAAGATTTCTCAATCTTTCTGTGTCTCTCCTCTCTGTAACTCTTTCAAATAAATAAATAAATCTTAAAAATAAAAAAGAATCCCTGGATTCAACAACCAGCTCAGGCTCCTAACTCCAACTTCCTG